AAGGGAGGGAGGCTCAGAAGTGATTTTAAATGACAGAAAGTAAGATGTTCACTGTAAGTACAGTAAAGCAGTCAGATGGTGTTCAAGTTGAAAGGATGTGTGGAAGTGATTGGGCCTGATGATTTCGCTCTCTCAAATGAGCGGACTGGGAAGCCACAGAATGGAAGGGATTGGCTGTTTTCTGCTGCTGGACGCAGCAATGGGCAAAAGGCCTCCCTGGCCTGGCAAAGATGGCAGGATGCTGTGGGCCTACTCCGACCATTGTTTCTCCACTCTCACACACTTCCCACCCTTTTTAATCTCTGTTCCACACATTACAGGAAGCAGTTCCTGTTTTCTAAATAGCCAAGTTATACAAGTGCCGTTTTATAGATGAGCTACCTAAGGCTGATGTCCTGCTAAGTGAAGACCGCAGGGCTCTGTGGAGACAGCAACCTTCCTGGGGGTGTGGGGGGGGGGAGTCAGGAGAGGAAATGGTCGCTCTCCCCTGGGCCCTGGAGCTGGGGGTACTGAGCCTCAACCCTGCGCAGCAACCTTGGCTGTGGACTCCAGAGGGAGGCTGGGATCTACTTCAGGGCTCTGGGCAAGTCCCCTCCACCTGGCTGTCCTTCTCCTTCCTTGTTTGTAGAACAGAGATGGGGCTGATAGCTCCCTCTGGCTCCATGAGGAGTAGCGTGTGAAATTAGTTCCTGCTTGGGAAGGTTTAGAAGCCACCACATTCCACCTCCCTGCTAATATGATTACAAGCACTTTTGCCGGGTATGAAAGGGCCAATTCCTCGGTCTCCTTCTTCCTTTAAAAACAGACCAAAGGGCGCCTTCCTCCCCACCCCCCTTATAGCTTACTAAGATGTGGTTGCTACCTTCTTGGAAGCTCAGACTGCTGAGGTTCGGATTCTTAGGTAGTTCACGAACAAGTAAACAATCAACAGCAACAAAATTAATTGCTGGGCAGTGCTTCGGGGAGCTTCTGAGCTAACAGTAAAGAGATGGTCCGCCTGTCTGCAAGCCACCAGGGTTTTCCGAAAGGCCAAGCCGGGGAAGATCAGGGAGGTAATCAGTCCCTTCATGGGGATGTGTCTTGAGGGTCCTCACCGAGGTATTCCCCAGGGAAAGCTTTAAAAAGGTTTTGGAAGGAAAGTCGCCAAGGAGTATCTCTTTCAGGGACACAGCTCTCAGCTCACAGCCTGTTTCCCAACGTTTGGAAATCCTTTAACAGTTTATGGAAGGCCACCCTTTAAACCAACCCAACAGCTCCTTTCTCCATAACCTGATTTTAGAGGTGTTTCATTATCTCTAATTACTCGGGGTAAATGGTGATTACTCAGTGTTTTAATCATCAGTTTGGGCAGCAGTTACTCTAAACTCAGGGAAGCCCAGACTCCCATGGGTATTTTTGGAAGGCACGGCGACTAGTCGGTGCATGCTTTCTAGTACCTCCGCACGTGGTCCCCAGGTGAGCCCCGGCCGATTTGATTTTCCGAGCCAGAGACTGCGACGTCCCGGGCCGGCAGCATTCGCGGGCTGTGGCGGCGGCGACCCGGCCTGGGAGGCGAGGCCAGGCGGGACGGCCGGAGGAGGATGTGGGCGGGGCTCCCATCCCCTGCGAGGAAGGCGAGCGGCGGGGGAGGAGGGAAGGAGGGAGGGGCTGCCGGGGAAGAGGAGGAGAAGGAAAGAAAGCGAGGGAGGGAAACAGAAGGAAGGAGCAGATGCGGGAGGGTGGAGGAGGAAGGTGGGAGGGGAGCAGCGCGCACGGGCGCGAGGTGCGTTCTGGACCGGTCCCCGCGAAGCCGGCTGAGTACCTGGCCTCTGACACCGATAGGAATCCCGTCCGAGCCGTCCCGAGCCTGCAGCGCCCGGATCCCCGAGCCGTTCAGAGGTCCCCAGGAGCTGCTTCTGGCGAGCCCGCTACCGCGGGGACCCATGGTGAGCGAGGAACCTGTCGCCGGTGCGGGGCGCACTTGGAGGCGTCCGAGGCCCGACTCTAGGGAGAAGCTGGGTGCCGGGTGCCACCGAGGGGGAAAGTGGCCTGTCCCGCACCCCGCAGCGGTGTTGGGGAGGGAGGTGGGATGCTGGTGCTGTTCACCTCCACGTCCGCTCAGCCTGTACCCGGGCCACCTTCTCCCTTCCCGCCTAGGGGACGGTCGCGGCTGGACAGGCGGGGAGGAG